ACTCGTGTTAAGAGCCTATATAATAATAAAATAAATATTTTATATATAATATGTATTGTATATATGTATACATATATATACTAGTGGGTAATAAACAGACTGACAGTAGGTGTTGAGAATATTTGTGTTGAAGAATTGAATTATCTACAAACTCACTCAGCCAAACAGAATATGCTGTTGAATGCCTGTGACGCAAACATGACGAATTTTTTTTTAGGCGAGCTCTTTTTCTTTCAACTAAACCAACCCAGAAATTATGTATTTTGAAGTTTCAGTACGTGTATGACGTAAAGATATATATATATATATATATATATATAATGATATAAAAGAATAGCAGGTACCTGTACTATGAATATATGGCCTGTTCTGTACATACACAAAAAGTTTTTCTTAAAAAAAAGCATTAGTTAGTTTCGAAATTTAACATTGCTTTTTTTTGTCTTATTTGCTTTCCATTTTCAGAATATATGCATATGTACGTATGCAGTAAAGGAATAAGGAATTTAAAGAAAAATTATTTTGTTAAATTTCTTAAATTTAAATTTTTTAACCGCAAAAAGGAAAAAATTATAGGGATGTGCGAATGCCGCTGGCATCGTGCGCTCCAAAACTCTGTCATATTTCTACAAGCTTAGGTGCGAGTCAGTGGCGTCTAATTTAAAAATTACCACCAACACTGTGCGCGTTGCCAATGGCAAGGTGGTGGTGCACGTGCATTATGAGTGGACGCCTATTCGACGGGGGTTGACACTACTGCACGAGCCGCTGGCTTATGACAATGATAACGATGTATGTACATATGTACGTTTGTCACGGTTTTAGGGCTTCAATTGTTTCTATTTGCATAATGAAAAGGTGTATTAAATAAGGGAAGTCTCATGTGTTATGTGTGGAAAAGTAAACTTGAACTGGGGTTGATGTGCATGCACACTTACATATTTATATATATGGGTGACGAACACCAAGTCACCGTTGCCTGTACGTATGGCGATTTCAGTTTTAAATAACATAGCCAAGCCTTATTTTCAGAATGTCAATAAATTTCGTCAATATCCAAGAGCATTATATCATATGGTCAGTAAAAATGAGTACCGCAAATAAAAAAAATTATGAAATTCAAATTTCAGTTAACTGAAACCAGTTGCGAGGCGAATTTTGTTTGATTTTCAAAAAGGAATAGACTCCGTTCTAGAGCTACCTTGGGCAACTCAACCAGACAGTTGACAACAGCTGGCGTCGGTTCTGAAAATTTCTTTCCATTTGACTTGGCCGCCAACCACATGACAGTGTGGTGTCGTATACGCACATAATGCAAAAATTATGAGAATAAAACAGAAAGTTTCAAAGAAACAACTTTATATGCGCTTCAAGTGGCAAGCGCTGCTGCTAAGCACATACACTTCATTTTTCCTGGATTATGAAAAGTGGGAATGTATTGCGAAATATAATATTTTATTTATATTTTTTTCTAATATTTAACTTGTACATTAAAAAATATAAATTAAATTAGATTAAAAAATAAATTAAAAAATTAATTAATTTAATGAAATAAAAACCAAAATAGCTAAAAATTAACATCATCATTTTGATGCAACATCCCAAACGAAGTTACACAACTCTGATTCACATTATGCCGTATATACATACATATGTACATACATTGAATTTTCACTTTTTATGAGCACAGATATTAACAGGTAATACAAATATGCAGACGGTAAACAGTAAAACCTAGGTAAGCGAATGTGTAATTGAAGGAGAAATTGTCGTCGCCAGTCAAATAATTCACATAATAGTACAGCTAAAAAAAAGCAGTCAAAATTTTTACATGCCCATTTGCATTTCGTCAGCCAAAAACATTTGCAGTGAATATTTATGACTCACTCGGAAAGTGGATAATGTTTAATTACCACAAAATTGACATATTTGTGTCTATACGGTTATTTAGAAGTAATACAGACGTCGCCAGAAGGATAATAGAGTTGCCTTGTAGCTCATTAAAAATAGTTAATTTTGTTGGCAACGATATTGTTGATAGATGCATGCGTAATTTGTTTACAAGTAATCATCAAATCTTATTTATAAATTTAGTTGGGGCGAAACGAAAGATAGCTTGAAGAGTGAAATTTCATATTTCTCGTCAAAAATATTTACTATTTCAAGGGGAAATCGGTCTCGGTGAATTTGAGAGATAATAAATTTCTCCAAATACCCTTCTTATGATATTTCATGTATTAATTCGTCTCGATTTTAATTGATTTCTCTCGGGTAATTTTTATTTATTTAGCTCTATACAGACATAGCAAAACAGATCTTCTTCATACATACATATACATATACTTGGGATCAATAAATCGCTCTTATCTTTCACAATGATTTTGAACGTATTGAAAATTTTGCTGAAATGCACTGCTCAAGCACACGACAAACGCACACACAAATGTATTCTTGTGCGTCAAAGACTTGGAGATACAAACAGAAAATCCAACAAAAAGTTGTCAACTAGCTTTTTTTAGAATATTTAACATAAACAACTCTTTTAAATGCATACACAAATAGGTAAACAAAAATTTATAAATAAATTTGAAAACATAAACGCCACTGGACAAACAAAAAATTATGAAACTTCATAATAATTTATCTACATATGTATGTAGGTGTTCATTATGTATTAATGCACTTAATTTATGAAATAAACCAACAGCCAAAAATTGTAGAAAACATAATTATTAACCAAAACCTTATCAATAAACTGTTTGTAGGTACATACGTGCATATGTATGTACTATGTATGTCTGTATGAAAATATTTACTTATCTACGCAAACTCGTGACAAAGTTCGTTAACAGATTGGTGTACTAGGGGCGGGCGGACAGACAGACAGACAGACAGACTATCCACTTAAAGTTGTGTGTAATAAGTAGGTCAAAAGTATTTAATATTACAACAAACGGGCAATCATTACAAGTACAGTAACAACAGCATTGCTACTGCTGTCAAAATATAAAGCTTATCAACAAAATAGAAAAATAAATTAATTCATGAGCAAATGATATGTAAAGAATTCAACCTAACCACACTTTTTTGTCGCTTCAGCGAGTCAAAGAGCTTTAAGCTAAATCTAACAGAAAATCAAATAAAAAGTTCTCTTCACAACTTAAAGGGTGTGCATATTAATATGTACATATGCACATATATACATATGTAGGTATGTATGTACGTATATACTACATAATTTTTGTCAACATGTTGAGCATACATACATACCTAACTGGATTTCTGTGTAAACAATATGTGTATATATACATACATACATACATACATACATACATATATAATTGGATTTCAGAGATCGGCTGACGCAATTCTAAAATGAAACTTTAATTTCTTATTTGTATGCATACATACATACATATATATATTATATTTATATAATGCGTATCTATATACATATGTGTGTTTGTGTACAAAATGAGCAAACGTATATAATAATAATTTAATAAATGAAATAAATATAAATAATTACAAAAAAAAATTTTTTCAATATAAAATTTATATAAATATAACAAAACGCTTATACAAGTAGACAACATTGAAACAGCTGGTAAGAACATACACAATATATGGAACAGAAGTCAACAAAGAAACTCAAGCAACAGAATTAAATGAGAACGGACTGTTCAGTACGGCGCAACGCAGCAGAATCAACAGCAGCTGTTATTTGCACTTGTAGTAGTGTATCCATATGAAACGGTTGGAAGTGAAGTTTGGGAAAGAATAAGAAAATATTTAGTAGGTATCAAGTTAAATTAGCGTTTTGTGCGAAATTGCAAAAATCAAGTCTTTAGAAATAAAAAACAAATAATATTTCTATTTTGATTTTAGCATAATTTAGGATAGTTTGCTTTCTCCATTCCTCACAATTAGGTGGTGATATCATAAGTTTACGTAAAATTATACCTATGTACGAATGTATATACCCGCATATATGTACATAAGTAGGTGTATTATTGCCTAACTCTTGATTATGGGGCAGATGAGATGTCACCTTGAAACACATGAAAAAATATTTACCCGCATATAAACAAAGCTTTATTGAGACGCCTAAAATTGTTTTCTTTTCTGTTTTACTTGCTAAATTTTTAAAAGTTATGTATCTACGAAAACTAATACATACATATATCTAGAGTTTAGAAAATGCTATGCGTTTGCTGTAATAGAAGCAGCACAGTCTATTAATCAGGCTGTACGTAACTAGACAAGTCAGATTTTTGTTTTATTTAAAACAAATTTACCCTGTTTTGAAAAGTACTAAATGGTGATGAAGGGCTTTTGGTAAAAATTTAGATTTCACTTTGTGCTTTATTTATTATCATCGAAACTCAGCTGTGTGTAAACGCAATGGCAACTGGAACAAATATAATACATGCAAATGTCAAAGTACACACATACATACACACACTCACTTGAATAAAACACAAATAAATGACGCCCGTCCTAACACACACCTCAATTCAACCCCACACAAGCACAAATAGGTACCAACAATTCAAACTGTATTGTGTAGAAACTTTTTGCTATTGCTAGCTAGAGCTTCTTCAATTTTGCGTTCGATTCGTTTTATACAACTTTTCATTTGAAAAGTTAAAAATTCTTTCTATTCATTAAAAGTCAATTGAAAACAGGCCTGCACATCCAAAGGATTTCACGTCCGACCATAGAAACACTTTTAAGCATATACATATGTATGTATAATGTCGAAAATATAAATAGAGATCCGTTAGTAGTTGAATTTTTATGCAAATCATATAAATGTACAGAAGTTTCACGGAGAAATATAAAAGAGGTACAGCTCAAGCTCTGTTTGGCGAACTGTATTGCTGATCTAAAACATTTTTGAGCTTTGCAATTTCAGTAATAATATGTATACATTCGTGTATGTATAATTGCAGTGATAGTGGTATTTTTTATAATTTTATACACTTAATTATGCTTACATTTTGACAGCCATTTTGGTTTATGTTGCGCAGGAATTTTATTTCAGTTATACTTTTTATTTAATTGTGTAGAAAAATTTCGCTATTGCACTAAAAAATGTTGGTACTTAATGTAACGTTGTTTGTGTTACTTAAAATTTAATTTACGTTTGTCATAAGTCTAAGAGCTCTCTGTTTTTTCTACCACTAATTTGTACTTTTACAAAGTTATCACAAAAATTTCAACTTTCGCAAAAAATACGAGTGACGAAATGCAATTGTTTTTTTTTTTTATATTTTGGTGTTTTTTATTTTCCTTCACCTTTCAGTTCTTCAATATGGTTGGTGAAACAAAGAATTTTTAATTTCTTGCTTCACGAAGACATTTTGCTAGTGTTTTTTTTCCTGTCGCTTGAAAATAAACTTATTTTCCGAAGTTATCGATTTTCCATCAAAGCTCACTCGTTTCGCAAGTGATTATATCCAAGTTAAGCTGTTTTCATTGAGCTCAAAATGTTTCTGGTTTGATTGTTATCAAGTGTTTAAAACATTTTAATGTTTAAAATCTTCATATTTGTTATAAAACGAAAAACACGACTTAGTACATTTATGTGTTTGATTATTTTATTTTGTTAAATTATTGGATACTTTCAGATTTATTTCACCTCAAACATATACACAAACTACACTGAGAGAGAGTAGAAAAACGGTTGATACTTGTATCAATTGTTGCTAAACACAAACTAAATTCACTTGAGCCAGAGCCTACACTACAAAACAAAGCTGCAGCTAGTCACGAATATCTTTCGCATTGAACGAGCTGAAAACGAAATATTTTGGCCATGGAAATACACAAGTAAAGGCCGTTCGTGTACATCGTACCAGTGTTTGCAGCGCTGCCACTAATTTCAGTTACACGGAAAATATAAATATTTTGAATTTTCTTGCCAGATTTTGTAACCAAAGCGAAACCAAGATATGATTTTTCTCTATAAAACTTGAATATACACAAAAAAACGAAATGATTTCAACACATTTCCTTATCTAAAAAAAATTAATACAAAATTAACTGGTTTCGTCTCCCTTGGACGAAACGTTTGTTTTAAAAAATATAATGAGTGCATAATTCATATTTCTAAAAGAGACAAAGTGAGGTAAAGCAAAATATTGGCCAAATCTCATAGTACATACAAAGACCAAGACAATTTTATTCATATCTACAATATTATTAAACAATTAGAAATATATATTAGGTTGAAATCTCAAACATAATCTTCCATTGAGAAGTGAATGAATTTTCGTCTTTTTTCACCGCCTACTTACAAAATCCATGGGAAGGGTACAGTCATGCCTAGAGTTAATTCAAAGTGTAATGGCAATACTTCAATGAAACGAGCTGATCTTTGGCAATTATATGTATTGTATATATGTATGTTCGATTAAAAGCGAAATAAAATTTATTCGATAGCTGCTTTAACGGTTGTTTCCAAATGTTTTAACGAAAGAATTTTTGGCACAACATACAATTAAAAAATAAAATTGATCAAGATGGTGAAATGAAACTTGTGGCAGCACCGAGTTACATTCGTTTATTGAATCTTTGATGTACTTTGCCGATGTTTCACGATGCAAAGTGAAAATTATTGTACTAGATAGATATTCAGTATGTGTATGTATGTATGCTTGCATATGAATTTGTGTGTATGCGAACGTACAGCTAAAACTACAAAAACAACTGTACACAAACTGTATACAATGGTTTGTTTTTTTTTTTTTTGGTGGATGGGTAAAGAAAACAACCAATACAACAACACCATCCCCAATCGTATACAACACAATTTCTGTATCGGTGTGTAATCGTTAGATGTGCTGGTATTTGTCAAGGTGGAATGATAATAAAATGAAACAAACATGGCGGCCCTTTTCTCTTTCCTTGTTTATTATGGTGAATATTAATGATCCCCAACAACGGAACGAAATGACAACTGAACATACGAAACTGGTAATATATATATTAAAAAAATGCACTTAATTAACTGTTTAAATATTTAGGCGAACAAACTGTTTCATACATATTGTATGAATGAAGAAATATGTCAAAAAATACGCTTAAAAAACAAAAAAGGCATTTATGGATATCATAAATAATTAATTTTTTTTTTAATTTATTACACAGATCTTAACAATATTGGTAAGAAACATATGTAGTTATAAATTTTAGTTACCTACTTAAATTATTTTATAATAATGGTTTAAATCCGAAAAGAAAACAATGATTCCTACATAAATTTGTTTGCAATCAAACAATTGTTTGGTTTATTGATTTTCGCTAGCAGTTTTGTGAAGCACACAAATGGCACAAATTACTTTTACAACTCTCAATAGAAGTGTGGATGCATATTTAAATATTTTTATGAAAAGTGGTTCGAGTAACAAAATCGAATAATCGAAAAAAAGAGGCTGGGAAAACATGCAACAGCTGAAGAAAGACGAACCATAAGGAAAATACATGAAGATGGGCAAAAATGGCAGAAATTTCATAGGTTTTGAATATTTCGTGTATTGACCACAGGTAAAATTCGGAAGACACGGCTTCGAAAGATGATGCTATTATAAGCCAATCACTAGACACAAAAACATCAAGTTCGAGGTAGGTATATTGAAGCAAATTTGTTTGCGATCGTTTCCAGGAAAACCACAACTCAATCCAATATAAACATTGCGAAGCGGTTGACTTTCGCTAGAGCCACATAAATTTCACAAAGCCTTGCTCATCATCCCAAACGGCTAGAATGCGTTTCTCTCAGAAAACGGTCGACCATGGGTCGGAAATATTATGGTGAGATGTGTATTTTCTTGGTTACATAGGTCCATTATTACGAATTAACGAAAAACGAGTAAGTTTCAGTATTTGGGCATTTTGAGGCACCACATGCCTTCGAGTAGAAGCCAAATAAATGTAAATTTATGCAGAACTACGACACCAAGCCCTGGTCCAAAGCATATGATAATTAGATGGCTATGGAAAAGATCGCAGTTTTAGATTGACCAACCCATAATTTTACCCTAAAACCCTTTGGAAAACTATGGATTGAAGTTAAAACTGAAAATACATTAAAAAAATTTTAATTAAAAGATAATTTTTCTATGGTTCTGGAAGCTTGGTATGCCATACCTTAAAGTCTAGAGTTCAAAACTCATGGTGTGAATAGGAGCAATGGCATCAGGACAAATATTTGATTTGTATCGAGATGTGTGCTTTTCGGTATTAAACCTCTTAGTGTGGTTGTCTTCCTTTCCTCACTTCCATTTTTGTGCCTAATACTTTAAATCCCCTATTCTTACTTCCTGGAAGTAACACTCTTCAGTGTCTCTGGTCCAAATCTCGGCAAACCTTAGCTTATTATATACTAAGTAATTACTTTGAAATCAATGTCAGTGAGAATTTACTCTTCTCTTTTCAAATTTAATACCATCGTTTCGTATTTTTGATCTTGTAAAATTTTGTATATATAATTTAAATAAACTGAAGTTGTTAAAATTCAAGACGCCAATATACATTCATATGTACCAAAATGTAGATTAATTATTTTATAATTTCAAAAGGAAATGAAATTTTGAAATATTGCTGCTATGTTGTTGGTAATTGACATATTTTGCATATATCGCGAAATTCCTTCGGAATGACATCATATTGAAAATAAATCTGAACCGAAGAACTAGTTTTATGAGTTTTGTTCCAAATAAATAATAATTTCCATTATTTAGTTTTGATGGTGGTTGCCATGCGCTCCACTCGTTACACTTCACTTACGCACCCATTCGCTGGGCTTTTTCGATCGGTCATATTTCATTACATACATACACCACTACAATGAAAAAATCTCTGATCATTTAAGTGCGTCATTTGATACTTTCTTTTCGAGATTTCTGAATAAAAATTCGAGAATAGCTATATAAAACTATAGTATTTACTTAGAAGAAATCGCACCTACTTCGTTGCCAACTCCACTATCATCTTGCATTTCCTTTCAAATCTAATTGAGTTTGACGCATTATTATCGAACACGATCGGAAGCAGGTATACGATAGCGTGCAATTAATACCCAAATTTACGCCATTTAATCCGAGTAACCAACGATTCGAATCAATGTAATTCCTTATATATGAAATATTTTGAACTTACCCGGATGCTTCTGCAAGTTGAGTCAGTTTCTGTGCTTTTTTTATTGGTCCCGGGAAAAAGAAAATGTTTTCAACACGAATCGAACAAGAATTGTGACATGGAAGAAATTGGATTTTTCTATTTTGACACTTGTCACCGGTGCCCTAGTGAAGTTGGCTGCTGCTCAAATGTCAAAATATGACGAAAATAATTGAGTTCGAAAGTAGCAGGGTTTGTGCATTTACTAAATCTGGCGTGGCATATTCTACTCAATATCGTAGATTTCTACTTATCACACCTAGATGGTGCAGTGATATATTACTGAATTTTTCAAACGATCTCTGTTGTTGTTGTTATAACCACAAAAATATTCCTAAAAGTACTTTTTGGGGAATGTTGCGGGAGTGATAGTCCTTAGCCGGGTCGTTCCGGTATAAAGACCCGACTGTCGCGGGAACTATTTGATTTTCGTCGCCTCTCACGGCAAGTATGCCTTACCGCGTGTAAATTCTTGAGCCCCTAACCCGCAAGGGGTTTTCTATTCTCGTACGATAACTTTAATCTAATAAAGCAAAAGCAGAGAACGTATATTATTCCACGTTCTCCAGCAGAAGTATACAAGGAAATTCTTATAAAATTTTCCTTTATCTCTATTATGACGAGTTATTTATTACTTACAATAAACTTTTATACCTTCAGCAAACTTAGGGGGCGTTGCACCTAAACACATTTCTATTACCAACTATAAAGCCTACAGCTTTTATTAACAAAACATTCAATCAACTTTGTGCTTTGCAAAGAAAGCAAACATTTAATTTCATTGCGATAAAAAAGTCCTTAACAGTAACACAAACTTCTTCAAGTTTGCTTCTTCCATATTATATATGTGTATGTATATATTTATCATTTATCTGTAACAATATCGGTGTGCCAGTTTGTCATCAGATAAGTGTTAAACTAAAGCTAATTCTTTGATTTTTAACGCTGAGTAATTCATGCTTTTTAATGGAGGGTTTCCATTTTCACATAAGATTTCTTTTTTACAAAGAAACCAAAAAAAAAAAAAACATACAGTTATTGTTTTAAACGAGGTGTCTTGGGTGCTATTTGGCTGCTCAATAAATCTCCTTCTCATCCATGTACAGATACATCATTGTTGGCGTTCATTTGATTTGACTGTGTAGCAGACTGTTCAGCTCTACTATTAACCGTCATGGAACTGTTGGAATTACTGTTTGTGTTGTTAGCAGTTTCCGGAATATCTGTTCGTGGCCGTCGGAATAAGATCACATGCGGCTCCGGCGCATGTATCATATAGTGCACCCAACCAGGGCTCTGTTGTACGCCTAAGTTACGCCACTCAGTCTCACTCATTAAATGGCATTTCGGTACCAGCTTGGTCAACTCTGGCGGCAGTATGACATGTCTATAAAGTTAAAATTTGTTTAATAAATATAAAGCACATTTAGCAGGATGGAATCAGAACTTTAATTAACAACAAAGCAAGTTATATCGCTAGAATTATACAAACCTGTATTCGTAAATGGCATCGAAGTATTTCTCTGAGTACTGTATTTGATCTGCTGACATTTTTTCTTTGAGACTGCTTTAGGGACTTGAGTACACCGCAAGTGAATTAAAATATAACCGATTTACACAGAAGAATATTTATATCGCTAAACAAGTCCTTTATTTTTACGTGGAATGTTTGTACCAATTTATTTTGATTTATAAGTCGCCATAAGTCAATGCTTCTTCTTATTCTAAAGCGGGTGTCATTCACTTTGTGCTCAAACCAGAGTTGCTGCAAAGAACGTGTATTAATATTGCTATCAAAGAACGTATACTATTAATACAATATATTATTCATATACGTTCTTTGGTACATTATTTAATAAACGTTCCTTAATTAGTTTCTTAATCAATAATATTCCTTCTCTATTTGAAGCAATCTGTATATTATAACCAAATTAGATTGCGTTCTTTGATATAATAATAATTGGCGCCTTGTAACCGCTGAAGCGATTTTTCGGCCGAGCTCCTCCTTCAATTTCTGGTTTTGCTTCTTGAAGTTTTTCCAACAAATGTGGGGACCTACAGTTTCTACTAAGCCGCCTCCGAACGGCTGATGGCTTTTTTACGAGGAGTCTTTATTTCAGGTCCGAAATACACTCGGAGGGGTGGACATTCCCACCGGCAATTGGAAAATGTAACTTAATTTTTTATTTAAATTAATTTTCCACAACTTTGGGATGTTGGTCGCACGGAGATTTGAGTCCGAGTCTTCCGAATGGCAGTACGCAATGGTCCTCGGCTACCGCGGCCGTATATACGATTATGTAATTATGCGTACATGTATGTATTTCCTTAAGCTCGATTTGATTTTGTGCTTGTAATTTTAAGCAGAAATTTAAGGAGATCTTATTAGGAATCGTGTAAATACTACTTTATACGCGGTAAATATGAAGAAGACCTAAGAAACGGAAACGGAAATAGAGGACGAACATCAGAAGGAAAAGTTGGTGCAAAAAACTGGAACGAAATTTGAGTTGCATTATAAAGAATTAATGACACAAATTAAAATATCATTTATAGCAAAGGTTATGGTCATACCTATAAAATTATGAAGTCTGTACTAATAAGAATGTAAGCCCCAGCATTTGTATTTGACATTTTTCCCGGCAGATTAGCTGTCTTTTTATATGTACATATGTATTTGAGTTGCATAGAATTTGAAAATTGGAAAAACCCAGTTTACTTGTTCCAAATGCAGCAAAGGAAAATACGAGAGAAACCACGGCAAAACTCAATACCAAAATTTTCCAGCGAGTGAAAAGCTTGGAAAAGGAAATTGACAGAAAGCAAAAATTACGGCTAAGAGAAATGTATGGACTGACAGTAACAAAAGCAGCGAGAACTCTTCATCGCCCGAATGCGTAAGGAGCTTATATTGAAAACAAACGAGCGAGTTGTGGGTGGTGATGAGAGTCGGTCAGGTGGAAACAGCGCTGTGAAGGAAACAAATGAACTTATGCTTGTTTTTTGTTGCTATTCTCTCTATGCATGGACACTTATGACTATATGTTTTCATTTTCATTTTCATTCAATGCAAAAAACGAGATACTCTTAAATAAACTGACTGTGTATACATACTATGTGTATACATATATTCTTTTATACATACATACATTTGTATGTACATATGCCTATACAAATATACATATATGAAAATGTACATGAAAGTAAAAAGGCAGCAAGTCAGCATTCTATCAGGCCATAACATATACAGACTAGCGCGTATAAAGCACGGAGAAAATGTGTACACGCCACAGGAAAAAGTATTATAAAAAAGAAAATACAAATAATGAACTAAACATTTAGAAAAATATAAGGACTTTGTACAACTTCGAGCAAACATACAAATAAATGGCTTATTACTTCCGCGTTGACCAATTATTAATTAAAACCCATTTTGAATATGAACATATATTCAGAACGAAAAGTTTTCCTCGCTGGAAAATTCATTGAAAAAGTGGAGCAGTGAACTAAAATAGATTAAACTTGCGTACAGAAATATTAATATTTAGTGCGGTATTAAGTATACGCGTGTCGTAAGCACATTTGGAAAAATATTATATTGTATATAAAAAAAATAGAAGCACAGAAATATGTGAGAATATTGAAAAGGCTGTTTCTGAATATCCAAAGCATTTCAACGAGCAGTAACGTTTTCAATCGGGACAGAGACGATTGAACTGGCAGTTCATATGCCATGCATGCATGTTTGTTCATACATACATACTCGTATGTATGTTCATATATGGATGTAATGAAAGTGTATACATACATACATATGTAAATACTCCTAATTTTACTATTAGTACTTGTGAAACACATACTAAGTACACTGCAAAATAAATCAAAAGGAGATTGCGCTTTCTATGCAAATGTTTATCGTGTCTAACAAATTAATCAAGTCAATGTTAAAATATTTATGTATATTAAGCAGAGTATGGAGCCATTCGACGAGTTCTTAAAAAATTAGTTGGTGTGTATGTAAGATTGATATCCTCGCTAATGCATTATGGACTTTGCCATCTCACTGGTGCAGCTACCGGTCATTTAACTATACATTTAATGTACATATGTACATACATAAGTCTGTATGTGCCTACAGTTATTCATATGTGAAGCTACTTTTCATCTCCTAAATGTGATTAACTTGAATAAAAATCATAATCTGCGGGCTCTATTTCCAATTCGTCATCTTAGTGGAGGACAATGTTGCTGAATCTTCTCAGGTGCATGCACCTCTCCCAGAGCTTTGTATAAATTTTTCGTTAAATTTTACTTGCGTGTGCTTTCGTTTCGACTTTCGTACTTTATTTTAAAATATGTATTATATACACATACATATGTACATGTTTGGGTGTTTCATGTGTGCTGAATTAAAAACAGAGGTGACAGAATGAAGAATAAAGGAAATATTAAACCTGCAAATTACCGCGAAATTTATGCATATACACATGTATATGTATTAAAATATATCAAAAATTTACGCATATTTATGTACACACATATATATATATATAGAATTAACAAATGAGCCCAATAATCCCAACAAGCTGTTGAGCAAATTGCCACAGCTCTGTCGCACACAATTTCCATGCTGCTTTGGTAATAAGAGAGAAAACTTTTTTTTAGCAATTTTCGAAAAATCTTTTAAAACCAAAAACGATGCAGGTAACCTGAGAAATGAAAATAGAAAATTTGTATAAATACTTGCCGACCGCAGTGGGCGAGTGGTTAGCATAGCGCACTAATATTTGAATGGCCAGAGTTCGCGTCCTGGTCCCACCAACGTCTGAGATTATAGATAATTATGTTTTTTCAATGGCACTGGCGCCTTGGCAGGGAAGCCCTCCCTCCATATGTATTTCTGACATGATAAAAAAAGCTCTATTTAATGCAAAAACAAAGACTTAAAAACCTGTGCTCTGCTGAAAATAGCTTCGCAAATAAAATGTTTTTAAAATGCTTTTTTTTTATGAAAGTCCCTTTTATTATAAAGTTTGAACCTTTGAATTATATGTGAAATACTACATCTTTGCAAGCTTCGATCCGTTTGAGGCCAATTGAAATCGCCCAGACGCGGTAAGAAAGTCGAAGCTCTCGAGAATGTCGAGAAGTAAACACGTCGGATACACTTTCACCTACAGTGGCGATATTTGAGGTGGAACGGACTATTCTCATAAATGCCTGACTTTTAACTAATTCAAGGCATGTTTCGTTTGACAGATGCTGAAATACAGCTCTGTACTTTGGAAACAACGAAATGGATGCTCCTATATATACAAACATATATGAATATACATATATACTCATATTTGCGGCTATAAATTATATTTCATAGCAAGAGACAAAAGCAATGATTTGATATACATATGTACATACATATGTATGCATTTGAATTGTTCAGTTAATTAATTTTCTATTTATGTTTAATAAATTTGACATGCTCACGTTTCCCAAAATAAAAAAGAAAGAGAAAGAGATTAACTTTATGATTCAACTTAAAGCAAAAGGAGGTTTTTCTGAATAGTTTTATTAATAAATTAACATGATAATTAGACAAATTAACAAATAAAGCCACTAAATTCCACCCCCCTCCACATATCATCAATGCCTTGCCCACAAATGGAGTAAAATGCAAATTCTAAGAGTTCATGTGCCAATGCGAACAAATCTATGTGCGATGGTATGTGTCCACCCTACCAAAATAGCACAGCAACAGCAGTCAAGTGGCACATACGAGTATATATATGTATGCGCATACTACTGTACATATTTAGATAGGCATAGTACGTGACCCATTAAATTGAATTCCTGTGTATTAAGTATAAGTAACCCACAACATGTCCGAGCTCTAAATTAAAAAGCAAAAACTAAAATACATATGTATAAACAAGATATAAAAACAATCGAAAACTCAATTGCAGATAGCAAAACAGAGAAACAGGAAACACAAAGAAAATACATGCAACAAGCTGTATTAAAGACGTGCAATGGTCCATGGACTCATACCACAATAATACGATATCACATCACCCACACCACTACCTATAATAACAGCCAGCCATCACAACAAACCAGCCGTTGCTGCTTGCCATCAGCGTGTCATCGAAAGAAATATAAGCTTGCATCGCAACCACAGTGGACTAGACCAATATATAGGCAAATCTACCAAGTTCCATAGGCCCAAGCAAAGCTACTAACCTAACAGCCAACCGGCCAAGAGAACAACACAATCATTCAGCGCCAAATACGGTGACGTATTTTACAAAAAAATGAATGCCAGTCTCATTTACGAAATCCTCATGTATTTGAATTCGTTTTACTTTGGCATGTACGCCGTATTTGAGATTGGTGTCGGCGTTCTGAAGGCAGTCGGATTGAATTATACTTCGAATGAGTTGACGCGAGAGGGATGTATATTGCTCGCATTGTGCATCGTAGAAACAATACGAATTGTATTGGGTCGGAAGAGCAGTTTAAGCGATCGAGGTGTGTATTTGTAAATGTTTTCCAATTATCTTTTTTAATGTGTTGATAAATTTATGTGCATATACGTACATATGTATTGCCTGCATTGCACAGATCATAATACTTGAATTTTGAATAATTTTTACCATAGTTTTCTTTTTAGATTTCTTATTAGGCTTCGATTTATTGGTCTGACTAACTTTTAGAACTTATTTTCAGCATAGTCAAATCCAATTTTTCTCTCGAGGAACACTTTCATATTGTTCATTACATACGAGTATGTATGTACATATATGCAAGAAGTTGTAAGAGCCTTTTATTTACCATGGCGAGTGTAATAAGACCAGCGTCCTCAAGGCCTTAATTTCTCGGAACATTGTTAGGCTATATTATGTAACCCAAACGGACGCATTAGCCGAGTGGTTAGCAGTGCGTACTACTATGTGAAAGGTCTTGGTTTAGAACCATGGCAAACTAATATCCGAATTTTTAAAAAATTAATAAAACCAAGAAAGAAGAGCTATCGGTCATGTACGTCTTTATACGTTTCATGACCGTATCAAAATTATTTTCCATCATTTTAAGGGTAAATATTAATTTCCAGATATTTGTTCGAGATACAAAGGATGGTTTAAATGCACAATTGTAGTTGTACATCTCGTTGGATGGAAATGTCTTTAAAACTGTAAAGGAGATGTTGACGACAGCCATGTGTGCTCTCTCTCTAAGATCTGGAGGCAGCATGACAGAGGCGACGTGTCAATCGGCTCTAGGCCGCACACTTGCAGAGGTAGTGCTCCATTCGTCATTTTCTGTGCATAATCTGTTCTCAGACAATACCACTTTACCTAGCCTATTGAGATGATATCTCAATACACCCAAAAAAAAATACCAAGCCCTCGCTTTTTTAAAAGTTAGTAACAGTTTCTTCTGCCTACAATCCACATTGTCCCATAATAATTGGGCGGTACTTCCTACGATGGAAAAATTTAATGAGCTTTAGTTTTTTTCCAACCATCAACTGCTTTAGACAATATTTTAAGGAGCTGAAAATTCTGAGATAGTCGATAGTAACCTTACCATCGCGAGCCAGCTTATCCGCCTTTTCATTGTTTCCTATATCCGTGTGACTGGGACCAATTTCTGCACAGAAGAAGTCTGCGCATTTAGGCCCATCATCCGTCAAACTGGATCCAACTTATTAGAACATTTATTTTTACAACTAATTTTTACCAATTCGTATTATCAATTAATATTTGCTCATTCTTTCTTTCATGTCTACTTGCAGGCTGGCAAGCGATAACATCAGTAGTATTAACACTGCCCAGTCTTGCTCTTGTAATCTATTTATGTTTGTTTCAAACCTACGTTCTCAAACTCGAGATAATTCTGAGTGCCTTAATGATAGCCCTCCAAGGTGCTGAACTAGTGTACGCCGGTGTCTTCGTATGCACCATGTTTGGCGATGTTACGTATACCTAGCAGTCGATAAGAATTTATGTAAAAATGTTAAAGATCCAATTGAATGAATATCCCGTCTGAAGCTACACACACCAACACACACATCTCGTCGATAATGTCGAAGAAGTAGTCATATTTATCGCTCTACGAAAATTGAGACGAAATGTGAGCAGAAACATATTCTTGTACCGATTCCGATGCAGCAAAGGTATTTAGCAAAAATGTGTTGTAAATTTAGCTGGTTACCAACAACTCATAACAATGTACACACGACAGCAAGATGACAATGATGTGTTTTACCAACAAGATAACAGTATAGTATTTTATTTCAAACCATTACAACAAACTCAAAAATACAATAACAGTATGAAAGTGCATAGGAATCTTAACGGTTAACATAAGAAAGCAAGCTGGAGATGACAAATCGTTAGATCAGAAAAGACTGATCGAAATCTAATACTTCACGTTATATGACTGGCGCTTTTCGCAGATTTTTTCACGTCGAAATTTCAACAAAAACAACTTGAATTCCCCACCTTGTAAGTATTATTTATCATGAATTTTCATATGGATTCAATATATGTACTATATAGAACTTATTATTTATATGTACTCGTTTATACGACATTTTTAACACTTAATTTAGCTGCACTTTTGTTTGAATTCTTCCGTCTTTGAAACACATGAAATCGATGCGCCTGCTTATGATTACCGAACGCGTCATATCACGAACCAAAAAACACACAAACTGAACTGCATTTGAAAAGATAGTGTTCTATAGCAAGTTTGGCGCTAACTTGTGCAGATTTGATGATTTTCTATGCACTGCTAAAAATTGCCTCAGAGGTATTAAAAATAGCAGCCGCCGCCACAGCTAGAAGGCATTGAAAAAAGAAAGAAAACGAAAACAAAGACTTCTATACTCAATGAAATCCCGGCAAATACTCGTAAGAAGGTAATGATCGCAAGAGTATATGAGTGCGAGGTGTAATAATCTACTTAATTAGGTGCATAAGCAACAGATGCGTTCGGCTGCAGCTGCGAATGAGCGGAAATTTGTTATAAACTGTTGATTTTATGACTCCATTCGCCAAAATGCAGCGTCCAATTTTATGTAAATATGTGAATGGCTGTGTGTAAATTCATTGTACATGCAATGTAAGCAAAAAAAAAATGGACACACGCCATTTTCACAGGATGAACAACACCAAAATTATCGTTTTTCAGGAAACGTTAAAACTGTTTTCCAGTTCATAAAATCTATTGTACATACATATATTCATATAAACGTTTATTTCAAGTGATATCCGAAACTACCCGGCTGATTATACAGAAAATTTGTTAGTTTGTTTCTATGGTTCCTGGATAGGTTTGCACAAAAAACAACATTCGGGAAGTGAACCAGAGACTGACCTATTCAGAAAAATTTCTCTTTTACGGGAAGTGGACCAATATATTCGAAATATATACACATTCCAGGTTCGATTTAGTTCGATATTGGATGATATGCATAAATAGAATATTTTGGAAATATCTGGAAATGGACACGAGATGTGGCACCAAGTTCGATGTGCCCGTATATAAATAAAACATTCTTTGGAAGAAAATGATCGGTGAAAGATTGAAAAAATTAATATGATTTGGATATAAGCATAGGTCGCTTATAGGTATATTCGCTTCACATTGCTATTATGCTGCGGTTGAGCATAGATCAGAATGGGGCATTCGGTTTACTTCGAGGCATTCATATTAACATTTTCGGGAAAGACTTTGATCAGCGAAGAAGTGAGCCGTACATTCAAACAAGTATTCAGATCGAAAATTTAATAAAAAAATAATTGTCGCATAATTCTTTTGGTATCGGTACTTGGATAATGAACAAAAAATGTATATATTAGTATATTATATATATTATATACATAAAAATTCTAACTTTTTGCTAAATAGTAGGCGATATATTAAAATAATGCCAATTTCATAAACTAAAAGTTTGCGATATAACAGACTGACAGGTAGACGAGTCTGCCTTTATAAACTCGCCTCAAACGGAACATACCTGCCTTTCAATGGGTCTATCTTTCTCATATTATATATAATACTTCTACCTAAAACCCAAATGAGTTTCTTTGCTTGGAAATCAGGGGAATTCTAAAAATATTAGCATACATACAACATATACAAATGGCAGCCGCAATAGACGAGTGGTTAGCATTGCGTACTGCCATTCGGAAAGCCCGGGTTCAAATTCTGGTACGACCAACACCCATAAGTTATAGAAAATTAATTTAAATAAAAAATTAAGCAACAATTTTTGATTACGGTCGCCGCTCGGTAGGGACTGTCAACCCCTCCGAGTGTATTTCGAACATGAAATAAAGGCTCCTCGCATAAAAAACCATAACCCCTTCGGAGGCGGCTGAGTATAAACTGAAGGTCCCTCCATTCATTGGAAAAACATCAAAACTCAAGCCCACGAATCGGTGGAGGAGCTCGGCCGAAAGTCGCTTTGACGGTTACAAAGAGGCAAATTTCTCATTACCAAGGTATTCTTGGGCGAACTCCACGTGTCCACAGGGCTAACGAACGTCCTCGGTGACGTTCATCACAAAAATGTGTCAAAATGTCAGCGTCGGGAGCAGTTGGAAAAAGACAAGCAAATAATCGTAAATGGCAAAGACGCTCATGCAATGCCTGTCGCAAAAGTGCCGTCCACATTCTCATTGTGAATTGTTGTAGAGCGACAGCAATTTCGTCCGTCGACCGATACTGACACAATATATACATACATACATGTACATATATATTCTACATAGTTAAAGGTACCAATCGGATATGCAACAATCTGTGCAACGCCAGCATACCGTGGTCAGTCTATAAATACGCGCCGAGACAAAAGTACATACGAGCCACAGAGGCTACAGTGCGACGTATTTTGAATGCCCAGAAGCAAAAGTTTTGAATTATTTAGCACAAGCACGCGAAGACACGTTGATTAGCTGACGAGCTATTTTTATCAAGTTATCAAAAAATTATTTGAAGAAAATTACAAAAGAGTGCAAAAATCTATTTTAATGATGTGAAACATGGAGAAATCGGAAACACGCTCTAAATAACCAAGTGCTCTTACTTAGTGCATTAAGGAATAAAGTTAAATGGAACAATGTAAATAGTAAATTACAGCAGAATGCCACCGCCAAAGAAACCACCGATTCATGTGCCAAAGAAGGCTAATCCCAGCCTTGGCTACGAAGTGCTCATCTATTTGAATTCCTTTTACTTTGGAATGTTCGCCTGCTGTGAATTGAGTATGGGTCTGCTGAAGGCCATCAATCTGTCATATCCGAATAATGTTTTGGCACGCGATTCGGGTGTTGTGATTGGCTTATGCATTTTAGAGACTATACGCATCATACTTGGACGCCGAGGTTCATTGGCCGAAAAAAGTATGGGCATATCTTAGAAACTTTTATCTTGAGTAAAAATAAGAATACACTAATATTTCCTCAACAATAAAAATAAACGACTCTACAGTAATACAGCGCTTTAGACATACGTAAAATGTACTCTAAGCACGGAATTATACCAGCAGAAGATCGTTCACTCTTCGAAGTTTTCCCTTTCTGTGATTTCTCTCTCCCTTTCTCTCTCTCTCCTTCTGAAGATGCTGAATGTAATTTCAGTTTCTTTTTGGAAACCATAGCGAAGGGATTCAGAGACACTCCAAAGGATTTCGGTATTGAAAAAATTTATACTGCCCAATCGCAATTTGATCACCGTAAATTACATAAACATACATGCATATATAATTATATAATTTATCGGAAAATGAACTAAGCTCGACAAGAAAATGAAGGACTTGAATAATTGCAGAGCTATTCGAAAGGCAATTATCGACATTTTGACGATGATAAAGGAAAATATACGGAAGCATTAATAGTCTACTTAGATTAAAATGAATAAACTTTGAAAAAAGATACTCTTAATATGTTATCAGTAGTATCGTTTTCCGTGAAACGAATATTGTACACTGATAATTTCGTTTTCCAAGAGTCGCTCGTGTAAGACATTATTACTTGGTCCCCCAACAAAAACACAGCGGCGGCCGTAATAGCCGAGTATTTAACATTACGTACTGATATTCGTTAGTCCAGGGTTCGAGTTCTGGTCTGGGCAACATTCAGAAACCATACCATTTGCCATTTCGAAAATAAACACAAATTCAAATTGTGAAAATTCGCGATTAATTTCGACCACTTTGTGCCATATATTGAGTGTTATCACAGCCATACCTTGACGAAGGTTGGTTTTCAGGCACTCAAGAGTGTAGTAGGATTTTATAATTTTAACCCGCTATGAGATACCTTTTAACTAAAGCAAAGCGTGGTTGGCTTGACGGTTAAGTATGACGTATGTACTTTTGAATCCACGAAATGGTTAATATTACATATGTAAATCTTAAAATACAATAAATAATTTCTGAGAATTTTGTATGTGGTTAATAAAAAACGAAAATATACTCCCAATTTATATATATACATATACATATATATATATATATATACAAATATAAATATCGTTTAAAAAATTGAAATTTACATTACACAAGTATTAATTTATTTCTTGCTTACAGGTTGGCAAGTTATTTTATCCGTTTTTCTAACTGTGCCTTGCTTTTTCGGTGTCGCTTACATACTGCTACTACAAGAATATAAACTTCGTCTGGAATATGTACTTTGCACATTAGAGATCGGCTTATATCTGACTGAAGTTTGGTATGCAATTCTGTTTGTTTTCTCACTATGTCGTCCAGTAACTTTTGAATAGTAAAATAGTGAAACTAAAACTTTATAATTATGTAAAGTGGAATTTACATGAACAATATAAGCAAAAACAACAACCATTTAAGATATTTAAACCAATGCATGTGAATGTGAACCACTGTAACTAGTGGCAACAAATTATGTGGTTAAAAAGAAAATATTTCGCTTTACATAAGCGAACAAATCATAGCAATATATAAAGAAAACAATGTAATAAATAAATTTGACTATTATATTAACTATTTGAAGTAAGAATATTAGAAAATAAAAAGTGTGTATTATTGAAAATCGCACATTAGTAAATATTATATACGAGTATGTAAATAATTATAGCGAATTGGGAATTCTTTGACAAAATTAAAAAAAAAAACTTGTACTAAGGGATGCAAGGACATTGATGATATGTTTACTATTTCTCATGTAAATTAAGTATCAATTGAATCCAATATAAACGAAAGCAAATCATTTTTGAATATATTTTATTCATATATATGAAAATATGTATGTGGTAGTGGTTGAAATTCCACACGAAAATAATTTTAGAATAAATATATATATTTTTTTTAAACTTAACGATAACGGATAAATTCTGAAAGTCTTATAATGCCTGAAAAGCCTTTTATTTTGCACAACTCAAAGGGTTCAAAATTCGAAATGATTTATACACATATTTTATATTATTATTAGCATATAAATAAACAGCCAAAACAAATTAATAACAGCAATCAAACAATATCCATACCAATTTTTTTTTTGTACATTCATATGTACATACAAGCGTACATCCATACATGTATTGTATATTACTATTCGTATACGCTGTGAAACTAGCAACACATTTGAACAACAACAACAACACCACAAAATTTAAGTAGAGATTTAAGCTCATTCTCAAGCATATACATATAATAGAGCGTATGTATATCTATATATATAAATATATATAAATTTATCATACATACATATGTATGAAATTACATTTACTTACTTATCCATTATTTTACATAAGTATAAAACTATACACTTAAAATGTATAGCAAAACAAACATACATACAAGTGAATATTTTATACGAAATATGTGTGTGCAGCCTACATAGAATTTAAATATTAAATAAAAGAAAAACAATTTAAACAATAATCGGTGAAATGTTGATACAAATTTCATATTTATGTAAGCACATAAGTACATACCTGCATATCGCTATCTCAATATAGAAAGACACTGGCCTAACATTTTTCAGAACATTTCTTTGTGTTCAGACTCAAGAAATCTTTAATATTATATTATTTTCAAACTTTCTGCAAATGAAAACTAATTCAAAAAATACTTCGCGCAGCTCAAATGAATTAAAAGTAGCCTAAAATTTTTGTATTAAGATAACGGTATTCAACATGTATGTAGATAATTACTTATTATTTTATTAAAGAAAGAATTTCCATAAAACGCATATATTTACATATGTACAGGTGCATATGATGGACTTAAAAAATAATGATGAACAATGCATTTTCAAAATGTTGTTGATGGCAATTTCCATTACTTTTTGGCCTGTACGAACATCTGCGCACCGGATTTGAAGAATTGTGTGCTACCGTATTTTATAAGAAATGAAACATCTAGCGGTTAAATTCAGTTTCATTTTTCTTTCACTTGTGCTCGTCATTTGCTTAATGAAGGTCATGTAACGAGTACTTTCGGTATTTGAATGCCTAACACTAAACTAGTTCTAATTTTGGTTTAGCTAATTTCTTTTTTACCGTTATTATATATCTAAATACCAATTTAACTGTATAATGGCAAATATTCCTTGCAATTTGTGTGTGCATATCACTTATATGCACCGAAAAACCGCTGTTGGCGGTAAAGCAGAGACGCTCAAGTAACAAAACGATGTCACTTTTTTTTTTAAATTTGCTATGCATTTTTTGCACTCTACAATTTCAATGTTTAACATTGTCTGTTAACGATTTAACATTAACGGCAACTTTTCGCTTCGGGTAAACACGAAATAAAATTTATTTTGATAACTGCTTTAACGGTAATATTTCCAGCTGTTTCAACCAAATTAATTGAAGTTTTCTTATTAACGTTAAGCAAAAAAAAAATAGTGCAATTGTACTTAAATAAAAAATAAGAATCTTCATGTGTGTCTCAAACGATTTCTAATAAAATATGATGCGGGTAATCTTATGATGATTATTTTGTTTATTTTCGAAATATTTCGGGAAGACTTTTTTTACAGGAGGTTACACAGGATATTAAGCAGAATTTGAAGCGAGTTTCAGTGGTTTCGAAGAAAGAATTGAATCTAAATATTAGTTAAACCTCGCAATGCAATCACAGTGTTTGCCGTTCTGTTGACTAAGGGTAGTTTGTTAAATGAAGTCTCGGTGCTATAAATAAAAAAAAAAACAACTGTATCATGTGTGACTTATTTCAAAACTAAATTAAATCGAAATTCGGAATTCGGAATTCGCGACAAGCGGTTGAAAATAGTTTGCCATTACTCACATAACAATAGTAACAAAGTAACTGTTTAAAAAAAAAAGCAATAGAATTGTATCTTTAACAAAACAATATATAATGTGTAAATACAAAGACAAAGCATGAATAAAGTTTTTAAACCAGAAAATAGCAGAGGTCGAAATAGTTTAATTTTAAAAAAAGATATTTTCAAAAACAACAACAACAACAAAATGCATTAAGTCATAGAAAAATACTTTTTTTTTAAATGTTTGTATGTACTTACATGTATCTTGATGAAAAAAACCCCGGAAAATTAAAAAATTCTCAAAAAAACTACAAATAAATCAGTTTATTAAAAATTAGAGAAAACAATATAATAAAATATGCTAGAATTAAGAAACTCATGTAAAAATGTATGTTGAAAAAAGCCGAAAATGAAAATAATCTTTGTAAATTTTAACAAAACTTTAAATAAATAATGCGTATGTATATGGTATACAATTTTTAGATAAAAAATTAAAACAAATGTATGAAAGAATAAAGAAAATGTTATAACTCATTTATACACCAGTTTTAATATTTTTGTTATATTGATATAAACAATGATGTAAATACAAAAAAACTCGAATTCAAAATTAATTATAGTTTATATTCGTGAATGCCTGTGAAATTCATTGTCACCCTCAAAAAACTGTAAATCACCAAAGAACAGTAAAATTTCTGAAAAATGTGCTAAGCACACAATACTTTATACAAACTTAATAAAACAATGTTTAAAAAGATGTAGGTAAACAACTATTATTTTCGTCGTTAATGTATACATCCGAGAGTTTTGAGTTGAAATAAAAGTGAGGCCTGCAAAATCTCTTTTCAAACAAACTTTTCATATTGTTAATTTCGTTTTTTTTTTTTTTTAACTGAGGAACGTTTAATGTTGAAATAAACCCATTTCGTGGTTTCATAAGTACAGAGGTGTATTTTGACACCTGTCAAACTTAACTTTCAAACTAAATATTTTTTGTTTTAGTTAAAAGTCAAGCATTTATGAAAGTGGATCGTTTAACAAGCGCACAAGGCGTTAAATTTGTTTAAAACTACAACAAAAATTCTGATTCAAACGTAGGCAGGATGTGTGCTTTAAGAGGAGATTATGGTTCATATAATCGCCCAACTATCCAAGTAATTGGAAAAATGAGACTGGATACGTTACAGATATTAAAAGGCAACCTCCAATAATGCCATCGTAACTGAAAGTTTAGCCGACGACCGGAATGTTTCTATTTCTCAACGTTCCATAGAACTGGGACGTTCTTACGGCACATTATGATTACTTTGCACTTGGAATTGCGCCTGCATCCTCCTAAAGTCCGGCTCATACAACAACTGGGTTGGATTGGGTGCTTGAACAACACGCAGTGGACGTCAAATTTTTCGAACAAAATTTTCTTCAGCGACGAGGCACATTTCTCTATTTTGGGATACGAATTTGGAGCTCCAAGAATCCCCAAATAATTTAAGAGTTAAGATTAAGTCTTAGCATCCACAAAACAACAAAGTAATAAATTGAACCTTACTTCTTTTACGACAACGGCAACCCAGATAATTCTAATAGTTATCGCTATTTCTGCACTTTTAAAAAATACCCAGCTTCATTACCTCAATATATGCTCGGGTAAGCATGTATGTAGTTCGATTGTTCTCATGAATATATTGGTGTAGTAAAAAGAAATCCATTATTTTTCCAATAGATGACGTTATTTATCTGTATTTCGCGCTTTATAAGTCCGATCGGGTTCCTTCGGCTAGATGGCGTTAGAAAGGTGACAGTTCATACTAAAAACATTTTCTGACAATTTTGTGATTGGTTCATTCAGTTTTGTTTGAGCGTGCGTCAAAGATGGACACTAGCAAGATGTGAATAGCATAGCAAATTTGTCGAAAATGTCGAAAAATCATGGATACAGGAAATGGTTCACCAGTCTGTACAAGGAGCCCTAGTAGCCCATACGACCTTGTACTTACTTCTACTTTTTATAATTTATATTGTATGAAAAGAGAAGCTGCTAGTCAAACACCCTACTCTTGGATTTTGTGTGACTCTGTACATTTATATATTCAGCAACACAGGAACTCAGTATTTATCCCCACGTGCATACACAGGATCGTCGGAAATAGGTTTGGCGGTATTGATATTTTAGCCTATACCTCAATATACCGAAATTTCAGACAACGTGATACCTTATCCTTTAATTTTTTGCAGCAGTAAATAATATTGGCTTGCAGAACTGAATAGATAAGGTATAATCTTCTATAAGAGTGTGCCGCTGCTGGCATACGCCGATGATATTGACATTAAAGCGGGGGATATGGGTCTGGTAGTGAACGGGGGCAAGACGAAATGGCTAGAGTCATTAAACCAACAGTACCCGCGATTCGGCTCACATGTCACTGTTGATAGTCACAACTTTGAAGTCGTAGATGATTTCGTCTATCTTGGAACTAGTATTAACACCAACAACAATATCAGTCTAAAACCTCAACCCAGATTCACTCATCCTAACAGGTACTATTTTGGATTAAGTAGGTGATTCATTCCCTTTCAGCGCCAAACAGCGACAGCTGTAACTACGATAAAAAGGAAAGGAAAGAAAATTCATGAAGCCAAATTTCCTGAAACGCCTAACTAAAACTGCAACAGTCAATTATAGCAGAAGTATCATCGTAGAGGTTTATCTGCATCATATAATACTTTGTATGACGAAATTCTGTAATAATATTCCTGCGAGCAACCCCTATTCGGCAGCCAATTAATCATCATGGTGTATTGGAATTGTTTTCAAAAGCTGCACTTTTTTCTCATTTCACTTTTCAATCCAACTTCTATCGCACATCAAAATTAGTAACGAATAACTTTTTCATTTCATTTTTTTTTTCAAATTTCAAAAGCAAAAAAAAATTAAATTAGCTTTCAAAACTGGAATTAAAATCAAAATAGCACGACTTGAACCTGAAAATTATGGAAACCAAAGGCAATAATGTAGAGAAAGAACTTACTGACAGCAAACATTTGTCCGTTTCCAACATAAAATTAAGTCCATCCACAAGTTCCAAAGCAAAACTTGGCACACAGAAATTGAATTGGATACCTTCGCCTGAGAAAGAGACTTATCGCACTGTTGTTGTCAACTATCGATATGCCAAAATGGATAAGAACTATTCGCGGAACACAGGTGCGATTTCAAAAAAGAAACACTTGAATCGTAAGGTTGCTATGGCTGCCAAGCAGAGTGGCGATGAGGAAGTGGAAGACGATGAAGACGTACCCGATTTGCGTAAACTTTACGAATGTTCAAAAGAAGAATTGCGCACATTTAAGAGTGCGGACACGCCAAAACTTTCTTTTGAAAATATAACTGACAAACGTCAGACCCCAGCAAAGGAAGCCATCAAATTGGAGATGTATTGTTTGCCAAGGGAACAAGAAGCCATAATAGAGGAGCCACAAATCAACACCATTGAAGAATGTGAAATTGAAACTGCTACCCTTCAAGGTGACATAAACAATGAGTATGAGACAAAATCACAAGAGTACACTGACGAATACGATACAAGCAAAATGTCTGCAAATCACCCGTCCTTTTCCGATTTCGTATTTCTGGGAGACAATGAGATTGGCGAAACTCCCGACTTTGATGCTGACTGCTGTTGCGCAATAGCAAAAGATAAAGTGGATGGGACGCAGCAAACTTGTATCATTAAGAACACTACGAAGGGAACACAGAAGCCCGAACGGCATAATGAACAATTGCAGACACATAAAAAAGTAACTGTGTACGAGACAAAAACAGCCGATCAACCAACCGATGAAAATGGTTTACAGCTAGCAATTGCAGAGATACCAAAAGATGGTGGCAAATCAAAATCTACACCGAGTCCAGGTGGGTTCCGACAGCGTCAACAGGAACTTCACCGTTATCGTATTGCAGTGGAACAAAAACGCTTGGAATTGCTTGAGGTGAAGTTACAACGCGAGCGCGATGAAATGTTGCGCGAACAAATACTCTTTGAGAAGGATATTGAGTTTAAAACATCCCAATTACGACAGCTAAACGAGGATAAATTCGCCGACATAATGTAAATATGTATAAACTTGACCGAGAGGTAATAATACAAGACTTCGAATGTCATTGCTGGTGGAAAGTCAATGTACTTCCAAGTGTCCATCACACGTTTGAATTTCCAATCAGCTTTGATATTCCATAGGTCATAAAAATGGCCGTCAATGCTTACGAACGGATAAAATGCGAGCCAAAAAAAGGAAGTTAATAGTAAGTAAAAATTGGCAATAATTAGACTATATTTTATAATAATAAAAAATGCAAATGCTACCAAATTTAAAAAAAGTTTGTGAACTCAAAAACTTACAAAATAAATGCACAAATTCACACAGAAATTCAAAAACTTTATTGCTTCTTTCATGCTTTGATGCTTTTTCAAGATCATTTTTCCTTCGTAACTGGCAAATGGCACAAAGGGATCTATCGATCCGTAGATAGTAAAGGGGCTCGATAACTTCGCCTAGAAAGTCGAAGTCACCTAACTGGAGTTCCAAAAAAGAGCTGTTTCGGCAGGTTCAAAGCAAAGGAAAAGAGTTAGAGGAATTCTTTTTATGGAGCATGCAAAGAAGTGGATAGTGTCACGCGAGGTCTTGTAGGGTGCAGTAGGAATTAAATCAACTACATTATCTGAATCTTAATTATGTCAATACTACTCGGGTCTTTTGAAGCAGGTCCAGCTCTACAATAGGTGGTGCTTGTATTCCGAGAACGCCATTCTTAGGAAAAGAGTTCATAAAAGTGTTAACGGACTCTCGGTAAATAGCTAACCAAGGATTTCGTTGCTTCGACTCTCACGGCAGGCGGTTTACGTACCGAAGCTGATCCAATAGCTGTCACCCTTTCGGCAACCTAACCCCGTTTAAGCTATCAATTTATCCCTTCCGGACTGCTATATTGTGCAGAAGCGTAGACGACATCCCATAAGTAGGCGCTAAAAGTTTTCCAAAAGAGCTTGTGCGAACGACTTATAGTCCTTCACGTAGACGAGAAAGGCTGCGATATCGAGGTGGTGTGGGGCGGATGGATGGAAGCCCTCAAAAATTGAAAGCTTTCGATACCCGCCGGTGGAAGCAGAGCTTTATTTGGTGTATTCAATTAACGTCGAACGGCGAAAAGAAAATTATACTGGCGTGCTATTGCTGACTTGGCTGTATTCATTGTAGCGGTGCAGACACAAATAAACACCTAGAATGGATTTCTTCGAATTTCAAGAATTTATTTTTTTTTTTCCTACTAAATACAGTGAAAACATTAAAATAATTCCTATACCAATGGCATAAAGCAATTCCAATTCTTTCTACTACTAATATGATATGATCGTTTCTCTGCTTTACCACACCAATGTAAAATGAAATGCATCCCTGCTTCAGCAGCGCTCTTTGTTTTGTTTTTCCCGCCATTACTTTTAAAATTGTCAAATTTCAGCACGAATAGCAAACTTGTAAATTCCTCTCTTATTTTAATGACTGCATATTTTTAATATAATTTTAACTAATTATTTATTGGAACAGAACAATGGCTGATTCCCCAAGTAAAAAAATTATGAAATAGTTTGAAAGCATACGATGTTATTATGCAAATATAATTGCTTTTAGGTGAACCTCGAGCAAAACGTCAACGTGTGGACAAGGCAGGCCGATTTGCTGCTTTGGAACGATTGAAGAAGTTAAAAGGCAGTAAACACAAATATGAAGTTGAAGAGGAAGTTGACAATGTTTATGAAGTGGTTGATGAGCGTGAATATTCAAAACGGGCAAAAGAAAAATATGGTGATGATTGGATTGAGGAAGGTATGAACTTATATATGTTTAGCAATAGAATTTTAATACAATTCAACTAATCATCATTATGCAGATGGCACTGGTTATGCTGAAGATGGTCGCGATTTCTTCGAAGATGAGGATGAATATTCTGAGGAGGAAGTCGAACAGAAAGCAAACAAAAACAAGAAAAATAGCAAAAAGAGGCCTCGCGATAGTGATAAGCCAGTAAAGGGGAAAAGCTCAATACGAAACCTTTTCAGTAACGCTGTTCCAAAGAAAAATCCTGTTACTTCGTTAGCAGAAGATAACATATTGGCAGATATTTTAGGCGAATTACATGAGAAACCTAAAGGTTCAACATCTAAAGACGCTCAGACAGCTTCAGATATAGAAATAAAACAAACGAAACACATAGCGCCAGCAAAGATTATTAGCAAGTCAACAAACAAGTCAGATGCTGCACTTGCGAAAGAATATATGAACAATTTCATAAATAATATAAAAATTAGCGAAGAAGTAAAGAAGCCCGAAAAAACAAGTGATGATGAGCTGCTGGATAGCATTCTTAAACCTAAACCTACAGTTAACAAAAAACCAATGTCGGAAAAATCTAAGCTTGAAAGTACAGCACCAAAACTGGTTGAAGCGACAGTTCTTGCTAAGAAAGCCCGTAAGGAAACTGCTGTGGAAATACAGGCACAATTAAGCAAAACCGAAAAAACTGTTAAGAAATTAGCTGAAGAAGAAGCTCAAGCAAATGAACCCGAATTTCCAGATGATGATATGGACTTCAGTTGTTTGCAGAATGAAGAAAATCAATTTCAGAATGCTAAATATACAACGATCGATGCAAAGAAAAAATCACCAAAGAAAACGGAAAAAGAGAAAGGCGCTCCAGTAAAAGATGTAGATGACTTGCAAAATTTGTTGAGCAACTGGGAACAAGTTTGTCAAATGGATAATTTTGAAGAAGAAACTATAAATAGTGAAAATACTTCTGACGCCAGCTTGGCTGGTAAAGACACCTTAAAATTTTGGTATTGGGAGGCGTGGGAGGATCCGGTTAAATGTCCAGGAGAAGTTTTCCTCTTTGGACGCACAACTGAGGGTAAATCTCTCTGTGTAAGGGTTGAAAAAATTGATCGCGTATTGTATCTATTACCCAGAAAATATGTAAGTCTTGAATGCAAAAAAAATAACGTAGAGTGTAAAAATATTTTTTTCACAGTTACTGGATCCTATAACGAAAGAATCAACTGGAAAACTCGTACAATTGAGTGATCTATATAAAGAATTTGATGAAAATATTTCTAATGAACTAAAATTAGACGGATTTCGATCACGTAAAGTTACAAAAAACTTTGGTAATCATTCCATTGGTATTGATGTACCACAAGTTTGTGACTACATGGAGGTATGTTCTCGTTAAATACTCTAAGCACTAACTTTTGCGGTTGTTACTAATGGGTTGTCTTACAGATACATTACGACGGTAAGAAGCCACCGCCAAATTTAAAGAAAAAATACAATTCCATTGCTCACATATTCGGTGCAAACACAACCGCTTTGGAGCGTTTTTTACTCGATCGCAAAATCAAAGGACCTTGTTGGTTGACACTGAAAGAGTTCCGTCCTAATCCAGCGCCAATAAGTTGGTGCAATTCCGATGTAAGCGTTAGTGAACCAAAATCGGTAATACTCTCTGAAGATCCAAAGCCCGAACCACCTCCTCCGCTTACGCTACTCACACTTAACGTGCGAACAGCACTTAACCCCAAAACGCTTAAAAATGAAATCTGCATGATTTCCATGCTAGTTCACAACCGCTTTCATATTGATCGACGCGCACCTCAACCTGCCTTCAATAGAAGCATGTGCGGTATTACACGACCTGTAATGGCTGCATGGCCCTTCGATCTCAAAGTTAAATTATCACAGTTCAAAGCTATAAACGTGGCAAAGCATGACAACGAACGTGGACTTCTCATGTGGTTCATGGCAATGTACCAGCAAGTGGATGCCGATTTAATCGTTACTTTTGATGCTATTGATTGTCAGTTGGATGTGATTACTGACCGCATTTCTACACTCAAGGTGCCGCAATGGTCCCGTTTGGGACGTGTACGTCTCTCTGCACATGCTAGTGGCCGTAAGTGGCTCGATTACTTCGCAGGTCGTATGGTATGTGATGTGAAGAGGACAGCTTCTGAGGAGAAGATAAAGGCGCGATCATATGATCTGCAGACTTTGTGTCAAGCCGTGCTGGAAATCAAAGAGAACGAGAGAAGGGACGTGAATGATGAAGATCTTTTACAGATGTTTGAGACTGGTACGTGTATATGAAATTTGTTACCATATTTCTAATAATCTACTTTTGGGCATACATTTAAAAGACAAATCACATTTTCTGTACTTCCAGGCGATGGGGTGCTGAAGTTGATAACATTGACAATGCAGGATGCCGCCTATGTACTTCGCATGATGTATAAACTCGACCTTTTGCCATTGGCATTACAAATAACAAACATTTGCGGCAATACCATGACGCGAACACTGCAGCATGGACGCTCAGAGCGCATTGAATTTCTGCTTTTACATGCTTTCACTGAGAAAAACTATATAGTACCGGATAAAAAGAAGCGGGAGTGGAATGATAATAATAATACCATTATTGATGGCGAGGTAAATGATACAACAGCCGCAGCATCAAGCAGTGGACGAAAGAAAGCTGCCTACTCTGGCGGTATGGTATTGGACCCCATTGCAGGACTGTATGACAAATATATACTTCTTATGGATTTCAATTCACTTTATCCGAGCATTATTCAGGAGTATAACATATGTTTCACAACAGTTCAACAGCCTTATAACGCTGAAGATCTGCCTCAACTACCCGATTCGAGTGTAGAGCTTGGTATATTGCCACAACAATTGCGTCGATTAGTACAGTCCCGACGTGAAGTGAAGAAATTAATGGCCAAATCGGATGTTCCGCCGGAGCAACTCAAACAGTATGATATACGACAGTGGGCATTAAAAATCACCGCCAACGCTATGTATGGATGTCTAGGTGCTAGTCACTCACGTTTTGCTGCACAGCACCTAGCCGCTTTGGTGACGCACAAAGGTCGAGAGATACTTATGAATACAAAAAGTTTGGTTCAAAAAATGAGCTATGAAGTGGTTTATGGTGATACCGATTCAATCATGGTGAACACGAACATACTAGACTACGATCAGGTGTTCACAATCGGTAATGGCATCAAGCAGAGTGTCAATAAAATATACAAACAAGTGGAATTGGGTATCGACGGTGTATTTAGTTGTTTGCTGTTATTAAAAAAGAAAAAGTATGCAGCTGTGAAGGTGGAAAAGGATGCTAAAAGCGGTAAGTTGATAATGATTAAAAATATTATGCCAGAGAAGTAATATTTCTACTTAATATTGTAATATTTTATTGAAAGGCGCGTTAGTCAAGGTGCAAGAGCAAAAAGGTCTCGATATCGTCCGTCGCGATTGGTCCCAACTTGCAATTATGGTTGGCCGTGTGGTACTCGACGAAATTCTTTCGGATAAACAACTCGATGAAAAACTGGATGCAGTGCATTCACATCTCGAGAAGATACGCACACAAATAGAATCAGACTCTGTGCCGTTACCAATGTACATTATAACAAAGCAGCTTTCTAAGGCGCCCACAGAGTTCAATAATGCCATCTCGCAGCCTCATGTCCAGGTCGCATTACGCATGAATACAACACGCAACAGACGTTATAAAAAAGGTGATATGGTGGATTATGTCATTTGTTTAGATGGCACAAATAATCCGGCCACACAACGCGGTTATCACTTGGATGAAGTGAAATCGAGTGAAACGTTGAAATTGGACTCACAATATTATCTGGCGCACCAGATACATCCGGTAGTCACGCGCATGGTGGACGTGTTAGAGGGCACAGATGCCAGTCGGGTAGCTGAGTCACTAGGCTTGGACCCGAGCAAGTTTAGAGCGGCTGCTCAAAGGTAACAAATTCAAAATAAATTTCAAATTTGTTTAATTTATCTCTTCACCTCTTTTTTTTCTCTCTATATCTCTCTCTCTCTCTTTTTCCCTTGCAGAGCTCATCAAGAGCGCGCTGAGGATACAACGGGTGAATCGCTAGTGAAGACTACTTTGCAAAAATATCGCGAATGCGATAAATTCAAGTTCATTTGCATCTCCTGCAAATCAGAAAATATTATTGCAACGGCTTTTCGGCCTAACGCAGCTAATTCCTATGATGCAGTGCTGCAAAAGTGTGTCAATACAGATTGTTGTAGTGCGCCGCATCAATACATAGTGGCCATACGCAATCGTCTGCTACTGACCATACGTTCGTATGTGAAACGTTTCTACCAAAATTGGCTTGTCTGTGACGATCCGTCATGCAATCAGAATACACGATTTCATACTCATGTAACAGCGGGTAGTCGACCTGTTTGCCCTTACTGTAAAAACGGTTCATTGGTGCGTCAGTATTCGGAGAGGAATTTATATCAACAACTAAGCTATTTCCAATACATGTTCGATTTAAGTAGATACCAACATAAACGTAAGTAACTTGTGCTATTATTTCATATATACATATTAGTATTAATATATACAATATATATTTCGTATATATATGTCTTGCATTTTCCGTGCTTTCAATAATCACTCCCTTCATTTGCAGATGTTCCACTCACACCAGAAACCGAGGCTGCCTATCAAGTGCTTTTCGAAACGGTGAATCTACAATTGGAAAAATCGGCATTTTGCACAATATCCTTGGGAAAATTGTTTAGTTATTTCAAACCTTTCGAACAAAGTGATACAATTTCACATAAGAAAATTGATCTACCACAGCTGGAAACACAGGTGGCCATTAGCCTTGATGAAAATTAAATTTTGTCACTTGGAACATTTTTTAATAGGACAAAGAGGTTTATTTATAAGAGTAATGGGATTATAAATATATCAAGAGGGAACTATTGTAAAGTCTAATATTCGCTTTAGAAATTAAAAATAAAACCGAACTTTTAAAATATTTTATTCATTTTGTTAAAATTATCTCGTGTGTTTATAAAAACTTAAACACAACATACGCCTACAAACCTACTTACGTTCGCTTGTCGATAGACCAACAATGAGTTCTTAATATTTACAAAAACAGCAAACTAATATAACAAATATGTACAGCCTGTTTGTCAGCTTCGACATCAACTCAAAAATTTTGCTACAGGGAATTTACGAAAGGATTCATTGAATATATCCGTGAAAGCGCTGCTCACCAACTCATTTATGAGTGGCTTGATCATGGGAAAGCCAATCGGCCACATGCTATTTATAACACCGTCAGTAAAGTTATCCAACCGTTCACGACCTTCCGCCAAAGCATTGGCCACATGCATTTTCAACCCGCCAATGCGATCAATCTCCACATGTACCTTTAGAAGTGCACCGGGGGCACCTAATCGGCGTACACTCGTCGTCTGACTATAATCGTACAGCGTCATATTCCAAAAGCCGCTGCGCTTAACAAGTGTGCCCAGGATTTTGCCCGAGAATTCATACCAACCGTCTAAACTCTTCTCCGGAAAGTACTGTGCGTAAATGATGCGTTTATTCGCATAGTCGGTCCGATATTTGGTAACCTCCGACTGGGACCAGCCATACTCAGATATATTGCGAAGTATTAGCTTGAAGCCACCGAAACTATTTTGATCGCCACGACGTAGCTCCACAAAAGGTGAACGATGCGGATCGAACGGTTTGATGTTGTAAGCAGGAACACCTGAAAGGCAATGGCAGTGTGCTCAAGTCCTTACTCTCGCATACAAATACATTATGAAATGTTGGCTAGATTTTACTCACCTGTTGGAAAATACGCACGTAAATCGTTGAATACTGTCTTCATACAATTGTCAAAATCTTCGCTGCCAACTTTGCACCTGCCCAAAAGACGCTTAAAATCATCATCTACTGAAACTTGACCTTGCGCATGCACGCCGGCTTTTGTGCTCACGCAAGCGATGACAATCACCACCATGCAGCATTGCAGCAGCAGCTTTGACATGTTGGCTAGTAGGGAAACGCGTTTGATACTCAACTCAGGCTGGGCATGCGCAGCTGTTACTCTACTAAGACGAGTGCTGCTGCTGCTATTGCGGCGTCTATTACTATTACTGCTGCTGTTGCTGTTGGACATTGAAAATAATTGTGGCTTTGTGAATTATGCTAGGTCGTATGGTCTTGGCAAGCTGCTCATCTGCCGCAAATTCGGAAGCTGTAAATGAATGAGTGTAAATGTGTATGTATGTGTGTTTGTGTTGTAGTAGTAATTATATTAAATGTTTGCAATAATGGTTTCAGACAATAGTCGCACGTACGCGCATGCACACACAAAATGTAATATAATAATTCACTTAAATTAAGAAAAAGCCTTCGCAAGCGAGTTTCAGCTGCTTGGGCAATTGCACTTTGTGTGTGCAACGCGCTCAGTACAAATTCACTGATGCGAAAAAATTGGTAAGCTGAAGGAGTGAGTAGGCAATTACAAATTCAAAAGAGAGTCTGCATATCGGTTTCAGAGGTAAATCCCGCACAAATAGGTGCTTCCAGTTAGAGTTAGAGTTAGAGAGTTCAAGTTCCATTGCTAAACGCCTTTCATAAATTTTCGGAGCGGTTGGCAACAACAAACACACGAGAGGAATCTACAGAAAACTTCGTCAGCGTAGGCAAGGCGGTTTCTCAATGCGAATACGACATAGTAAATATTCTACCAGATTTAGCGTAAGTCAGATAAGTAAACGTTGAGATTATGAGAGCTCGACTCATGGGAGTTGCTGCAGGGCGGATGATCCCGCACGTCAGGGAGTTTTGTGTTGTGTGATGAATTTGTAGTACTAGCTCAGGGTGAGCGGGTACAAGTCGAAAGCCTGAAGAAAAGCCTCGTAAAAGTGTTTTTTTTTTTTTTAGAAACAATGAACTATTCAACCAAAAGGAAACTGAAGAGTAAAAGTCGATATTTTCTGCCAATCAGCACAGACCGCTACATTTCTAGTTTGGAACATTCGTTCGCGGCAGAGAGGAATGGCCAAGCAACAACGACACTCTTGCTGAAAGCATTCAAATAAGCAAAAATTGGTCCAATTTTGGTGGTAGAGTGGTTGAAGGTATTCCTTCTTGGGATCACTCATTAAAGCTAAGAAAGAGGGCCGGGTTTACTAGGTAGGGTATTAACAAACAGTCTCTTTTGGCCAAAGAGTGAAGGTTGGCGAGACATTTCCTGTTAGAAAATCTTCTCTACCTGAACCAGCTAAGATTTCCCCAAAATATATACAAAATTCACCGGTCTAATAGGAAAACCAATACTTTTGGGGAGTTGTGCAACAAGTCGTTAATATGAATGCGCAGAGCATACGTATCGTCTACTTATCACCACAAGGTCGATTTGATTTAAGATATTGCAGCCAAATATCTTGATTTCGCCAAAGAACCATATTTCGATCGACAAGAAGTCTGTCAGTCTCAATTCGGCCTGTAGGCAGAATTTTCCCGCTAAAAAAGATATTTTCCTACGTGCAAACTAAGACTTCCTAGAAGGAATCTTTCTTTCCGCCATCAAAGCATGGCCGAAATTAGAAAAGTGTTTCGGGTTTTAGTTTTCATGCGGATTGTTGTAAGAGGTAAATCTGCTTAGTTTTCAGCACTTGGAACATTTGAAATTTTAAATTTACGATGGCAAATGAACTAAAAAGTAGTGAACGGAGGTAGAAAAACACAGTTATACATATATATCCCACTACCACATAGCCGAAGAAAATAGTTCCTCACTACTGGTGTACGCCTTGAGAATATCCTTTCACACAAATCCAAATAATTGTAAGCTTGTTTAGTCAGATATGCATGTATGTGTGTCTATAACATTCGTGTAATCAAGAAAAAATTAAACAAATTTCACAATTGTTGTTTATTGCATAAGCGCATGCATTGGCACATATAATACATACACACATATGTATATATATATATATATATATATGTAATTTCTTCAAATCCAAACTTTGTTCCACTTCATATGTACATATGTATGTATTACTCAAAATCTAACAAACTTATACCGTACAATTTGTATGCTTTTGAGAAAAATCCACAACAACAACAGCTGTAATTACACCAAATCGAACTAGTTGCACCAAAGCGATCCAAACACACTTTTATCAGGAATACTAAAAACGTTAGTTGGTATGAATACGTTTACTGTGTACGTACGTATGTATGCGTGTATGTATGTATGAACAATTTCCCGGCATGACATACCCGTTTAACTCCCGTTTGTTGTAATCGTAAAAAAAAGATATTTTGCGCATGCGCTAAAATCAAAAACGCTTTCCTCGACGCTCAACTGACTACTGAACGCGCCAACAGCTCTGATCAAGTGCATAAGCGCCAAAATTATTGTAAATACACAAAAAACTGAGTGTAAGAAGTAAATGTGCTAATGTATAAAAAAATCAAAAAGCAAAATTTTCGAAATGTAATAACAATAAAACATAATATTCATTAGAAAAAAATAATAGTAAAAATAAAAAAGAGAGCTTAGTGTATTTACTGCAGTTTCCTAACAATTGGTGGATTTGTTAGATGAGATGGTTGCATCTTATTTAGTGCGAACTTCGTTTATGTAGTCTTTATAATATTTATGTCGACATATTTGTGATTTGCACAATGAATTATAAAATATTCGTATATACATTTTTTTTAAATTTTTCTGCTTCCTGAAAAATCTACATATACATAAATACATAAGTATGTACCTAATTTATTTTTCGTATTCTGATTCAAGCAACAGTTATGCATACCAATTACGACCGGTATTAAAAAAAACTATGAACTTCGATGCACATACATACATAAACACATACTATATGTGCATACATACATGTGTAACCCTGTGTATTTCAATGTCATTGAACATAATTTTGATTGACAACAATTAAAGCAGTGTGAAGCGTCGCTCATACCTACAAAAATACACGTTCAGCATTACCACTAAAGAGGTAAGTGATCGACTGAGTTCGGCTCAAAAGTACACCACTATGTTTTAATTGGGTTTAAAACGGTTTGTCGTGAGCTGTATTCTGCAAACATTTCACCACACACACGGCGCCGCACTAGCCAAGGTTCGAGTCCTGGTTCGACCAAGAGCGCAAATTAAAAAAAAAACAAAGTTTTCTAATTGCAGTCGCTCCTAGACAAGGAAAGTCAAGCCCTCCGATTGTATTTTTGTCATGATATGTAAAGCTTTTGCATAGACTCCTTTTGTTCCTCCTTTTGTTGGTAAAACATAAAGACACACATACCTCCATACGAATTGGAGGAGGAGCTTAGCCAAAAACCGCATCAGCGGTTACAAAGGGACCAATCTACAAACAAGAGGATGCCACAGAGTCTGCGCTAATTACCATTTCATAAGCAATATCGCATATAAGTCCTATCGAGAGTATTGTGTGATTGACTAAAACCCAACATCAACAAACGGATTGGACCTTAGTAGTGTGGCTTTAGACCTGGTAAATAAACCATTGACCTGATCTTCATCATGCCCGAAATTTCGATAAAACCTGTGACGCCGCTACGACTAATTTGGTATCCACGCCAAACTTATACGGCTATGCAAACTGACGTTAAGCAAAGTCAAAAGCTCCATCTTCAACGGACAATTGCGCGATCGAGAAAAGATTAACGATTTTCTATGACCGAAATTGGATGGTATTGATTTGGACAACGTTTACTTTCCACACTACGAAAATTGATCTTTTAAGGGAAAAGTTTCTTTTAATTTAAAATAACACCTCTTTTGAAATCCCCGTTATATGTAACTGAAGTATTTCAATTTGATTTCATTTTTGTTATCAATTCGTTTTATTATTTTGATTCTCGAGAGATTTTCTGAAATACAGATGGAAAAACTGTAGACTCGGTGACATTCATATAATTCGCCTTCCACCCGAAACTTCAATTGTCTTACATTCACCCAGTGTCCTCATGATCAATATGTAGTAACAACACAACAATATTTACATCAAATGTTCATAGTCGTTCAGCGGCGGCCACTAATTCATAGTAGGAACTCCATATATTTTCAAGTTCGTTTCAAAAGTCTTTTGTTTACACTCCAAGTACGAGCAATGATGCAGTTCGACTTTGAATCACTCTAAAGGGGAAATTTGAATGTGTTTGCAGTAATTGTTATACATACTCGTACATATATTTTAATGGGACATTAACTACGCCTATTGTTTACTCAAAGGTTATCGTTTCAAAATTATATGACTTCTTTGTGGTCCAATAAAACGAATAGTTTTTGCTGGTTTTGGTTTTGAAAGAGGCAGATGTGTTAGATAAGTTGGTTTATTTGGCGTACAAATGGTGGAGAGAGGGAAACTCATTGTGTATAAGGCAAAAATTAGAAGAGCGTACTGGAAGATGTTGAAGATCCCTGAGAATAGCATTTTTGATCAGTCGATCCCCTCAGCGGCAAAGAAATGTGATCTGCCTCAAGCAGTGAAGAAACGAGAGTAATTTTGTTCCCACCATAAGTCACTTATTCCATCGTTGAAAATGAATATCTACATATGACATCATATAAAATTCTTTTGAGTTCTAAAAATTATACTTTGATAGTGAAAGGACGCCTACTTGATGACTATCTTAACTTTCTCGGTAATGAAGTTAAGAGGCGTGCAATCTGCAATCAGCTGTTTTAAGCAAATGAATATATTTTTACTTGGGGTATTAGAGGGTGTAGTCAAGCTTCTAGGTTTGCTGTTAAAGTTGCGAGGCTGCCGTGTGGAGCCTTGGGTCACGGCTAATGAGAGAGGAAGCTTTAGTAGAGCCACTCCGACTTTTTCGGTTAAAGGGTCTATTGAAGTCTAATTGCAGCTTTTGTTCACCAGAGGTGCGACTGCGAGTAGGCGTCGGTCTTGAAGCAAGCGGCTCGCTATATGAATGTGTAAAAAATTTGGGGCCCTCCACACAGAAACCAGCTCCAATGAAAGCTAAAACAACGCCTCGGATGAGATACCGCCTTTCTGTTGGGTCGTCAACGAAACGCAAAACAGTTGGTTAATGTCATCGTAAGAATAAAGGCTGATATCACCGCCGACCATGAAGTGCGATGGACGGGACAAGGACGAAAGCGAGTAAGCTCGTGTGACATTTACTACAGCTGCCATATAAAGGAGCGCAAATTTGGTCCGTCGTCGAGTACTGATATTCACCCCGGTGGATGAGCGTCTCGCCACAATCCGCATCGAAGCGAAATTTTTCCAAATATTGTTAATTTGCGCCCACGCCCCGACGGAAGAGAAGGACGATTTGGCCAAAGATGCCGCCGACTCGATGTGAAAATTGTGCTTGCAGGGGCAAAGAAGGAATCTTTGGTACGGATGTTGGAAAATTCAGCCGTCACAACGAAAAATGCCCTAATGGGTTGAGGCTGATCGACTTCGCCGGGGCCCGAAATATGGTTGCGCGTAGTACTAGATTCCAGCACAAAAAATACATCAAGCAACTTGGATGTCCCCTGATCGAAAAACACAAAACCAGATCGATCATGCTGTGATAGACAGAAGACAGGTCTCCAACGTTCTTGACTTGCGTACACTCCAAGGACCCAACATCGACTCAGACCACTATCTTGTTGCAGCGAAGATACGCATACACCTCTGTATATCGAAGAAACCCCGTCAACAAACGCAGGAAAGTTCGACGTTGAAAAGCTGCAATCACAACAGACTGCCGAACGATTTTCCACTCGACTTGCACTCCTGCTCTCTGAGAGCACTCATTGGCAATTCGGTATATGGGACCTGTGGGATGGTATCCCAAACTCCCTACGTACAGCTGCGAACGAAACTATTGGATTTCGTAAAGGTCCAAAAACAGCTGGGAAGATGAGGACTACCGTGTCGCAGTGTAGAGAAAACAGACTGCCTACCTCGCAACCTTGCTATCGACCACAACACGTGCGGGATGGGATAGATACAGAGGTTGAGAAGCTGGACGACAAGGGTAATGCTCGAAAATTCTATGAGAATATAAAACGACTTACGGACGACTTACGACAGCGATGCCCAGAGTATATTGAATAGTAGTGAAAATGGAGAATCCGGAGATGGTAAGCCCGAAACCCCAATCGATGACGATAGAAAAGGCGTTCCATTACTTGACCATGAAGAAGTTCGAATAGCAATTGCCCGCTTAAAAAACAACAAAGCAGGGGGAGCTGACGGCCTACCGGCAGAACTATTCAAACATGGCGGTGAACAGCTGACAAGGTGTATGCATCAGCTACTTTGCAGAATATAGTCAGACGAAAGCCTGCCTAACGATTGGAATTTAAGTGTGCTCTGCCCAACCCATAAAAAAGGGACCGCACAGTCTGCGCCAATTACAGTGGGATAAGCATCTTAATATCGCCTGTAAGGTCCTGTCGAGCGTATTGTGTGAAAGACTTAAGCCCACCGTCAACAAATTGATTAGTCCTTATCAGTTTGGTATCCCCGCAAATCTTATGGGGCTGTGTAAGCTGATGCTAGACAACACCAGAAGCGCAGTCAGAATTGGAAGGACCTCTCCGAGCCGTTTGGTACCAAACGAGGTTTCAGACAGGGTGACTCTTTGTCGTGTGATTTCTTCAATTTGATGCTGGAGAGAGCAGCAAGCACAAAACCTTTTACAACACTGTTCAGTTAATCTATTACTCTAATTGCCATATGCTCGTCACTTATTGAGAACAGCTGATTTTAGCAAAACAAAAAACACGCCGGTGACTAACGCCATTCCCATTCATTTATAGAATTATCAGACGCGAGCGTTTATTTTATAATAAAATTAAGGGCCTCTAAATTAGTTCCTTAATTAAAAATTATAAATAAAATGGAAGTAGAATTTAGTAAAGAAAACTTTCTACTATCTGAAATTAAATATGAATGTAAGTACGACAGTTGGTCACAACGAGGACAACAATAACAAGTTTGTTAATAAACTTTTGGGATTTTCTGTTGCAGATTTGGACCACACGGCTGATGTACAGTGAGTTCACACATTACTAAGCAACTGTTTACATATTTCAATATAAAATAATAATATTCCTTTAAAGGTTACACGCTTGGGGTTCTTCGTTACAAGAGGCCTTCGAGCAATGTGGAATGGCAATGTTCGGATATATGACTGACTTAGATTACGTCTCCATAGAGCATTGCTTTCAACTGGAAGCCAAAGGTGATGATATTGAGGGCTTGTTGTTCCACTTTTTGGATGAATTGCTTTTCCTCTTCTCCGCCGAACCTTTTCTTATTTGCAAAAAATTAGAAATCACCAAATTTGATTTGGAAAACTATGAGATTGAATGTCGTTGCTATGGTGAGCCTTTCGAGATTGGCAAACATCCTCAAGGTACCGAGGTTAAAGCGATTACGTACTCTGCAATGCAAATAGTGCAAGAACCCGAGCGAAGTCATTATGAAGTCTTTGTGATAATCGATATTTGAAAATAGAAGAACAGAATTTATCGGATCATAGTAGTATTTGTGAAATTTGAATATACTTATTCACACATAACTAGATAAGAGAGTTACTGACAGTTTAAACTGTTCATAGTATATATTTTTTATACATTAAATAAAATGTTTTCTCGTTTGTTGTATTAAGTAAATTTGAAACCCTTTTTGAGACCTATCATAGGGAGGTACAAAATTATCATTACGCACAGATTCGTGTACAGATATACATATATATATATGAAAGAAGTTTTTATTAATTTTTCCTTATATGCCCAAACACACATATTATTTATTCATTATTTTAGATGGTGATATGAGGGCTTTGTTATTTAAAATTTCATAAAATATTTCCCGCCATATTTTTGGCTTATAAAACATATATAGGTAAATTTTTACATTTGAGTATCTGTGTATATAACATAAGTCTGGAAACTTCAACAAACGATGAAAAAGGCGAAAATACCATACATGCTTATATTAATAAAGCAGCTAACACACACACATAAATGGCAGCAATAGCATCCACAATTCATTGGGAGGTTAAGAATTTTGGCTTGGATATAATTCGAAAACATTTCGATCTTCACAAAATATTCTTCGACAAGAGAATACATATGTATATTTAGCAATAATGATTTGTACAATACATTCTGCTAACTAAAAACTTATTCTTGCCGTCACAACAGGATGTATCTTGAACGACAGTATTCATCTTTACAATTAGTAAGTAAACAGAAAATACAAGTATACTAATTTATGTACTACACTAATTATAACTAAAATCACATATAATTAACGTTTTTATTTTTCATTAAAAGATATATTCCAATATCAATATTCTGCTGCAGTATTATATCTCACAAATTCCTCAAAATCTGCAAATCTATTACAATTATATTTCTTTGTCTATTACATTCACGCATCAGCTGACAGAGATATGCTGTCATTATTCGCCTATTTCCTTTGCTTAGCATTCGTAAATATTTACATTTGTGAAGGAAAACATTTTTTGACAGCGGCTTATAAGAAAGTTTAATTAGAAACACGGTTTCTGCATTTGGCACCTTGAATTCAATTTTAAGCTCCAAAAATCCCATTCATTTTTTAATAGATAATTTAACAACCGTAAGTCGTAGAAAAACCAAGACTACTCTAAAAATGCTGTACAGCTTTCCAAAGTGGTCAATTATGCGTTTCATTGCGGTAAACTGTTGCTGGTCCGAGAAAAAACTTTTAAATTTGGTTTATTATGCCAAGCACTCATGTTCGATTTCAGCTGTTCAGCAGAATTTATAAGCCACAGCTGTTGAGCAGCCGGTTCATGACCGGTGTTGTTTCGCTAATGCGAAATCCACACACACTTGGGAGCGCTCTCTTTGGCGCATGGATACCAAAGGCGATGCAACCGGTGACTGAAAGTTGTTTGTCTCACTCTTACTTGAAAAATAGATTAAATGAATGAAACATATGTATATACTTTTGCGACAGCAATTTTATATTTGACAAGTGTCAAATTGTAAACAACAACACAAGTGACAACAAAAACGCTTTATTTGTTGTTGCAGCTTTTCGAAAATTCATCGGGAACAGTGATATCTGTAAAAGCAGCAATTTGAACGGAGCATCAACAGCAGAAACTAGCGAAGTAAAGCAGCAGCAGCAATAGTTTGGTGGCAGCGTGGTATGTGAATTGTGTCGATCAACCTAAAAAAAGTGTAAATTAACAAAAACGAAGGAAGTGTCAAGTCAAATACTGCAAATTGAAGGTGTGCAGCAAATATAGGTGCGTACATAGTCTACGCTCACAAGGGAATTGAATTGATAATAATACTGTGCTTCTGTCTCCACCACTTTCCGAAAATGTGGCTCATTGGCGAGTTCGCCGTGTGCACAAAAGTTCAAGTATATTCTGTGCACTTTACATATGGTTCTACTAATAGAAATGCCTGATTAGGTGTTTGTTTGAAAGCCAGTTCCGAAATAAGCTTGATATTTGATTAACTTCAAAGGCTAAAAATGCATGTAAATTATTTGAAACGTGCAAATTTTCGAAATTTCAGAAGAGGCAGTTTAGGCACGAGGAAAAATTTATAAAAGAACGAGAATTGTTGGACGGACGAAAGCGAAACGCGAATAATGTATAAAAGCCAACAACACCGATGAACGAACGAAAAATGTCTCGTACCTTTTTCTGGTAGGAGTTGTTGGTGTTTCTTTTATATGATTTTAGATTTTGTTGGTGTTTTGCTTAGAGTTGTCTGGCAATGAAAGCAGCTAGCAACTCGCCCAGTGCTATGTGGAATCCCAAATTTTCGTTATATTTCTCTACCGGCCCCACAAAAAATTGAAAGAAAACACTAAACGACCGAAGTAAAGTATCGGTTGTGCGACTTTGATGCCAACAACAATATCTATGGGTTACGCACATATGTAAGTACATACATATAATTGTATGTATGATTGCTTGTACATTCGTGAATGTTGAGTGGAGCAGTGAGTGTACGGTTAGTCCACAAAGTGGAAGAGAAATAACCAGCCAGCCACGACACGAATTCGGTGGATTTTATTCGTTGGCAGTGAAAACGCAATTGAAACTCATATTAAACTTAATAAAATAGAAAATTTAAGCCGTGAGCAAGCGTTTAATGGATTATTTTATTAAATCGGGTTCAAATGGTGCATGAAACTGAAATCTGAGAAAACACTAATAACTGACTGACGAACTGTTCGCCAGACGGGCGGGTAAATTTGGTTAGTGTAATTTGGTTTTTCGCATCAGGTATGTGGAGACAAGTGTGTAATGTGTGAACAATCAAATCGTTTTGCATTCTTTGGTATGGATATGTGCAAACAAGTTGGTCATGTGTGTTTGGTCCGTATCGCCAATAGCATCTTTGGTAGGTGTTGGTGAATCAGTACCTGTAGGCATTGCACAACGGCTGTAAAAGATTTTAATATCAATGTATTTAAGTACACATGCCCATGCATTTGAATATTCAATCCAACCAGCTTAAGCTAGGATAACAATTTCATTCAGCCTATCTTAGGAAGAATGAGATTCAATGAACTTTCTGTTCGCCAGAATAATAGTATAAAATGCCCTTTAAAGCTTTGGTACTATATTTTATCTCTCGTCTTGCCAATACGGGTTTCCTGTGCATAAAAACTGCTTCACCTCTATTTCCCTGCTGTAGCTTCAGCTGTGAGCGACGTATTCAACCAGTTCATAAAAGCAGTAAGCAAAACGCAACGATTACCATCGTCGTTCTTGCTCGAAAATTTGCCGATTACGCATCATCCTCTAGAGAATAGGAAATTTTCTTCAGAAATATGTTTACAAAATCCGGCTAACTTAATAGCAGTTAGTAATTTATTTTTATATAATATATATGTAGTTACGTGGCTTACACACAAGAATTTAGTGCGATATATGGATACCCGTATCTAAAATATTCATACGTAACGGATAAAAACAAGGGAGCAGAGGTGAGACGACTTGGAAAAATCATAAACAAGCTTTTGCCGCGTTGTCACAAGCTTATTATGGCTTATAAGGTGAATTTCAATAAGTAACATAACATCAATTGCCTTCTTGCCAAAATGTAAAGAAATAATAATGACTTCGCAATGAATGGCGTTTATGCGGGAAAAGTGTTAAAATAATTGATGCGGACCAAGCAAATTCAAAATCGCTCACTGTTATAACACGAATGCGAATGGAAAACTAAATATATGTACATTGTGTACATATGTATACATATATGTATGTATGTATATGTGCATATTATATGCAGTATAAGCGAGTAACTCGAAATCGAATCAGAATCACCATCCATTGTTGTTCGTTACCGTTTGTCGTAGCTGCACTGCAAGCACGACGTTTTGAATTTGTTCTTGCCGCCGACGACGACGCCGCCGACGATTTGATTGCGTTCATCGAATTGTGCTTGTATCACACTTATTATTTATTTTTTCATTTGTGAATTTCTACATACATATGTACATAATGCAAACATATAAATGTATTATGTGTGTATGTGTGTAAATAAATATTTCTAATCTTTTATTCCATGCTTGAAACGATCTCATGCTCTCCACACACATGTAAACATATGTATGTATGTATGTTCATGTGTCCAAAAATAATCCTGTGATTCTCACCTACTTGAATATCTAGCTTGGAAATTTTTCTTGAGGTAAAAAGGTTTTTTTTGGAGCTGTTTTTTTTTTAAACCTTTCTTCCGAAGTATCAAGCGATTATCTCCTTCTCCCGGATTGCGTTATTCATATTCTCAGATACAAGTCTTTAAGAGCTAATCCCTCTAGCATGTGTAGGTAGAGCGCTTCCCAGAAAATACTATTGTAGAGAGTATTGTCGATGCTTTACCGGCGAGGTAAGCTAGCTTGGGAGCAAGCAAAGCTAGTCGGTGCAGTCGATCAGAAGAAAAGTTTTGGAGGTAACTCATTTTCTGTAGAAAGGGGTTAGACTCCTTTGGCGCCATTTAAAGGAGAACTGGTAATAGCGATTGATTAAGGTCTGTCGGCAGCACGTCGCATCTGGCGGTTGTCTGTGTACTGACATTCGGAAGGTTCGGATCAAAGCCTGGTACTACGAATATCCAAAAAGTTATAGAAAATTCATTTAAAAATAAAAAATTAAGCTAAATTTTCTAATTGCGGTCGCCTCTTGGCAGGGAATGTCCACCACTGCGAGTGTATTTCAGACATAAAATAAAGCACTAATAGAAAACCCCATCAGCCGTTCGTTGGCGGCTTAGTATAAACTGCAGACCCCCTCCATTTATTGAAAAAACATCAAAACGCAAAACCACAAGTAGGAGGAGGAGCTCGGCCCAAAATCGCTTAAGCGTTTACAAATCGACATTTATATATAAATTATATGATTGTTAGGATTCCGTATATTCGGGTACCTACACCCTTCCCGATGAGCCTAGATCTGTTCTGTTTCGATCATGTGTCTTTAAGAAGGATCTCGCGGGAGCGCGCGCTGTTCTCTGGGCAGTGCTATATAACCTTGTGGAAATTTTGACGTCCTTGACTCCGGCATTAGTTTTGAGCCAGTGCTTCGTTTGTAAAAAGGTTTACGACATCTTGGCCAG